AAAAGAAGACATTCATTACAGCCAACAGACACATGAAAAAATGCTCATCATCACTGGCCATCAGAGAAATGCAAATCAAAACCACAATGAGATACCATCTCACACCAGTTGAATGTAAGTCATTAAAAATTAGGAAACAACAGGTGCTGGAGAGGATGTGGAGAAATAGGAACCTTTTACACTTCTGTTGAGTGGGATTACTTAATAGTTCAACCATTATGGAAAACAGTATGGCGATTCCTCAAGGATCTAGAACTAGAAGTTCCAAATGACCCAGCCATCCCATTACTGGGTATATGCCCAAGGTTACAAATCCCATGCTGCTATAAAGACACATGCACACATATATTTATTGCAGCAGTATTCACACAATAGCAAAGACTTAGACCCAATGTCCATCAGTGACAGACTGGATTAAGAAAATGCCTTTTATATACACCATGGGAGAATACTATCAGCCATAAAAAAGATGAGTTTGTTTCCTTTGTAGGGGCATGGATGCAGCTGAAGTACTCATCATTCTCAGCAAACTATCACGCAAGAGACAATATTTTGCGTATTCACTCACAGGTGAGACTGAAGAATAGAGATCTTCATGGACTCAAGAGGGGAACATCACACACTGGGGCCTATGTGTAGGGAGGAGGCTGCATTGGGAGTTATACCTGAGTGTGACGAGTTGATGGTGTGCAACATTAACACAAGTATACACATGTAAACCTGCACATTATGCACATGTACCCTAGAACTTAAAGAATAATAATAAAAATAAATAAATAAATAAATAAATAAATAAATAAATTACAATGAAATACCAAAATAAACCAAAAAAAAACAAAAAACAAAAAAAAAAAACTACAATCGTTCATCTTCCTTGATAACTGCAGATAGTTGAGTTCTGCCAGTTGGAGAGCATATATGCAAATTGAAGAAAGGAGCTGGGATGATGGCAAGAATCTGTTCTACTTAAATTGGCTTGGGCAGTGGCAGTACAGATGGCTTCAGTGAGCAGTTGCAGCCCAGTTCAGCAGCCTGCCAATGACTTTGGCTCAGCAATATCAGCTGCATTCTGGCAGCAGTGGTGGCTCCTACAGCATTAGCAGCTTTCAGGGAGCTGGCTGCTCAGTGGGAGGGACTGGCCATTTCAGCATCAGTACAGGCTCTGCTTTGGGCTGAGGCTACAGCAGCTCCTGATCTCTGGTAACTCTGCCTTCGTCTTATTGCTTTTCCTGCCCTTCTAACATCTTTGTGACCTATTAGCTGATATGGGCAATATCCACAAATCTCATGTCAAACTGTAATTCCCATTGTTGGAAGGCCTGGTGGGAAGTGACCTGGATCATGAAGTGGGTTTCAACTGGTTGCTTTCATTGCCCCTGGTACTGTCCTGTGATAGAGTTCTCTCGAGATCTGCTTTGCCCAGTGTGCCTTCCTCTCCTTTGCTCTCTCTCTCTCTCCTGCCAACCATATGAAGATATGCATGCTTCCTCTTTGCCTTCCACCATGATTGCTTGCTTTCTAATTGTCCTAGCAGCCTCCCTGCATCTACAGAGCTCTGAGTCAATTAAACCTCTTTTCTTTATAAATTACAGTCTCAAGTAGTTCTTCACAGGAATGTAGGAACAGACTAATAAACCTGCATCAAATCCCTCCCTCTTGAAAATGTAAATTTAAGTTTTGATAGCATGACTGAGATGCTGATTGTAAAGCCAGGCGGTGAGGCGGGCTTGCATTTCCAGTTTGTCTGCAAGATTAGTATCTTAGAAAATTTTCTGAATCTCTCAGGCTATATTCTCTGTAAAACATCAAGGCCAGGCATGAGTGTCATGCCTATAATCCCAACACTTCGGGAGGCCAAGATGGTGGATTGCTTGAGCTGAGAGTTTGGGACCAGCCTGGGCAACATGGTGAGACTCTATCTGTACAAAAAAACACAAAAATCTTAACCAGGCGTGGTGGCATGCACCGATAGTCCTAGCTATGTGGGCGGCTCAGGCAGGGAATTGCTTGACCCGAGGAGGCAGAGGTTGAAGTAAGCCATGATCACACCACTGCAGCCCAACCTGAGTGACAGATCAAGACAGTATCTCCAGGCAAACAAAACAGACAAACATAGAACAACTGGTAACTACCTAATAACTTTGTTTTAAGGATTACAATTCACATGTAGCCTGTATCATAGTGCCTGGCCAGAGGAATCACTGCTTTTGTATCAACAGATTGTACTCAAAAGTAATTGACAGATCTGTTTATGGGAACCCCAAAGGAAATATCCTTATTCCTTTTGAGTTGAGCTTTGCTTCTCAATTTCAGCACATGTATATGTACACACACCTTCTGAATTTCACCTTCACTATCTAGAAAATTTGCTCCCTGACCCTGCTCAGTACACATCCCTCCCCCTGAACAAATACCGATCACCTGATCCAACGGCAACTCATGTCATTTGCAGGACCCTTCTAGGCCTCAGTCAGACTCACCTGGAAGGCAGCTTGGTAACTCTGGCTCCCATTTGTTCCAGGGGGCCTGGCATTGCACCGGCGGGGTCAGCACAAGCTGAAACAAAGCCAGGCCTTCGCTCCACAACTTCATTTAAGGAAAATAAGCTTCTGTTGACAGATACCAATATTCCATTTTTCACATTTGGGCGATGCATTTGTTAGAGTATAAAAGGCACTGAGGGCCGGGCCGCTCCAGATGCCCACTTGGTCATCTTTGCTGGTGCAGTATATGGAGGGCTCACCCACGAGATCAAACAGCTTTCCTTCCGCGCCAAGGTGCAGCGGTAGGTCACCTGAATCCATTAGTGAAAATACTCTCTGTTGCGTTGCCCTAATGAAATCTCCATTGGCAATGGCTGAGGTATACACAAGGAATTCCTGGAAAAAGAAGCAGCAGATTAACCAAACAAAACCTTGGGACAGAGTCTTGCTGTCACCCAGGCTGGAGTGCAGTGGCACGATCACAGCTCACTGCAGCCTCCACTTCCGAGGTCAAGTAATCTCCACCTCAACCTCCCGAGCAGCTGGGATCACAGGCATGCACCACCGTGTCTGGTTTATTTTTATGTTTTTAGTAGAGATGCAGAGTTTGGCCATGTTGGGCAGGCTAGTCTTGAACTCCTGACCTCGAACAATCCGCCTGCCTCGGTCTTTCAAAGTGCTGGGATTATAAGCGTGAGCCACCGCACCCAGCCTGGTTTCTTAAAATTATACTTTGTGTAAATTTTGCTGACAGTTTTTAATTCCAAAAAAACCAGAGTAAATACTGACAATATTATTCTCATCTGATATTTTGCTAATGTACAGACATGTTCTTGATTTGTAAAATATTATGAGTTCTACTCTACTCAGTTAACTTTATTTCACCTAAGTATTCCATATATTATTAGAGTCACTTCTAGTTTTTGTTGTTTCTTTTTTGAACAGAGTTTCACTCTGTTCCCCAGGCTGGAGTGCAGTGGCATGATCTTGGCTCACTGCAAACCCCGCCTCCCAGGTTTAAGCGATTTTCCTGCCTCAGCCTCCTGAGTAGCTAGGATTAGAGGCATACAGCACCACACATGGCTAACTTTTGTATTTTTAGTAGAGATGGAGGTTTTACTGCCATATTGGCCAGGCTGGTCTCGAACTCCTGACCTCAAGTGATCTGCAAACCTCAGCCTCCCAATATACTGGGATTACAGGCATGAGCCACTGTGCCTAGCCTATAGTCTATGTTTTTATTTCTCCTGCTAAATGAGAATATAACTATATTATCTCCTGCATTATTAATTTGGTTCTCTCTCTATAGAGAAGGCATGTGCCTTTGTGGTATTGGATATTAATATAATAAAGCATATAGTATAGCATTTTTTTTTGGGCAGGGTCTTGCTCTGCTGCCCAGGCTGGAGTGCAGTGGCCCGATCATGGCTCACTGCAGCCTCAACCTCTCTGGCTCAAGCAATCCTCCCGTCTCAGTCTCGAGTAGTTGGGACTATAGGGCGTGTGCCACCGTACCCGTTTGATTTTTGTATTTTTGCAGAGACAGGGTTTCACCATGTTATACAGGCTCGAACTCCTGTACTCAAGCCATCTGCTCACCTGATCTCACTCCTAAAGTGCTGGGATTACAAGTTTGAGTCACCACACATGGCTCAGTGGCATCTTTGTTAAATAGTAAGACCAAAAACTCTGGCAGGACTAATATAGACAAAGCACAAATATACAACATTACATATAATAAACATGATACTTACAGATTCAGAAGTAATAAAAAGAACTGGATACTTATCTACAGCCATACCACCCTGAATGTGCCCAATCTGGTCTGATCGTGGAAGAACTGAATGCACATGTCCTACTCTACTGTGGGGCAGTGCCCAGTCCAGTATATTGACCTTCTACAAAGTTGGTTCCTATTTATCCTCCCACCAACTGGGTTTGAAATTGCTGATTTCCTCACATCGTCCCAAAACCCAGGATTATGTACATTTTATATTCCTTTTTAGCTTGCAATTGCTCATTCCCTTTGCTCCCCAAAATGTAGAAAGCTCATCTTCCAAACAACTCACAGGGAAAATGACATGATCCTGTTTAGGCAGAAGAATAAGAGAAGGAAGAGCTGCATGGCTTGAATATCCAAATGTGATACTAAGAGCTTGCAGAGAGGATATAGGGTTTCTTTCACTAACTTTGTATTTGTTGACTTCACTGAAGAAAATGCTCTTCAAACTGTGAGGTGTTCAACCAACAGAGAGGAGAAATTGGGGGCTGTTTAAATGAGCTCAAGACTAGTTTAAAATAAATTACACCCTCAGGGCAGAAAAAAACAAAAACGCATTTCTAGGTGAAGGTGGAAGTTTGGGATGCTGTGAGTCATTTTAAGGATATGTATGACTGGATTCTTCAAATATCAGAAGGATACCATTTCCAAGAGGGATGAGATTCATTCTTTGTGATTCTAGGAGGACAACTCTAGGATTAAACAGTGGGGTGATAAGGAAAGGAACTTCAACTCACGTTGACAAATTGGCGACTTCGTGCTCAATGGGCAGTATTGCCTGAGATGACACATTCAGCAGATGAGTGACCAATGAGTCGGTGCCTAAAGGCAAACAGTGGAAAATAATTGTGCTGTACATGCCTCATCGACGTCCTCACAGCATGCATATGTAGCAAGCTGAAGGATTACAATGTAGGAAAATGCAAAGGCCCTGGCCTAAGCTTTACCTGTTGTTCCCAGCTTTTCTTCTACTTCTTTTTCCTATTCTCTCACTATTGAAAGAAATATTTCTGCTCTTCTCGGCCTATTTGCTTCTTCATATCTCTTGCTTCATTGTGGACTGTACCTGGCACCAAAATAAAACAATTATTTTGTAGACCTGTTTGACTTTTTTTTTCATAAATTCTATTTTCTCTAAATATTATTTCTGCCATTTTTTTGTTTTTGCATTTTCCTTATTTTGTGTGTGTGTGTGCGCATTATATGATGTCATCTTACTTGAGACATGTTTTTTGTAAATACATGATTTGTTGCTCTTGATCTTATCTGGGAGACTTTGTCTTTCAACAAGAAGGTTAAACCACATGTATTGAGATACATGATGTATTTGATTTGCTTTCATCATCATTCTTTCACTGCCTTTTTCATTGATTTCACGATGCCCAATGACATTGATGAGGAGAAAGCAATGAATAAAATAAACCTGACCCAACATGAGGGGGTTTATTTGGTGGAAGAGAACAAATGCATTCCTTGCTATTCCTTTTCCTTCCCTCTCACTTACTATATGGAACAGATAGGTTAGCTGTTTTAGTCATTCTAATAATTTAGAAATAAACCTAATAGGTTTTCCAATGAGGAATTTCATTTTGTATGTGTGCACACATATATTATACATATATGCACGACACATATTTAAACTATTTTCTCAATTTCAAGTCAAACTCTATATGATCCAGTCTATATCTTTAGTGTAATGTAAGTCTAGCCTACCTTTACTGTCTCACATTTTCTAGTTTTATTGGAGTACGTTCTATGAGTTTAGAGATTATTAATAAGTTATGATTACATTGCCAAGTTTTTGTATTTTTGTTGTTGTTGTTGTTGAGATTTGTTTTAGGTGCTCCCATTCTCCTTTTAGAAAATTTGCTTATAAATTGCCTGGGAAACATACTTAAATGGTACAATTGTTGTGTCTTTGCTTATCCTTTAATGTGTACACAGGCCTCTAGGTGTGAATATTAGCTTGGTGCAATAGAAATGCTACCTTATGCCATTTAGTGTTGTACAGAATCAGTAATAGTGTCAATACATTTTATTTCTTTTCAGGTACTATATTTTCACGTTTTATTTCTGGGATCTGAGTTTTTCCTTTATCCTGAAACACAGAAGTTTCCTCAAGTGGCATTTAGGTATAGAGCTTATTGTTTACCCTTCTAGAATTTTTGTTACATGTATTTTGAATCCTGACACTGGGTTACATATGTCTTTCCTTTTTCATTTTTGGAGACAGGATCTCATTCTGTCATCCAGGCTGGAGTGCAGGGTGCCATCACACACGGCTCACTGAAGCCTCAGCCTCCTGGGCCAGGTGATCCTCCCCACTTCCAGTCTCCTGCCTAGCTGTGACTACAGAGCACACACCACACCACGCCCAGCTAATTTTTATACTTTTTTGTAGAGATGAGGTTTTGCCACGTTGCCCAGGCTGGTCTCGAGCTCCTGGGCTCAAGTGATCCTCTTGTCTCAGCCTCTCAATGTGTTGATTACAGGTGAGAGCCACTGTGCCTGCCTGTCTTCTCTTTCAGCTTTCCCACATACCATTCGAGAAAATTTGGTTAACTCCTCTTACTCTTTGCTTTAATTTTCTGCAATATTCATTGTAGAGATATATATGTATATATGTGTGTGTATGTATATCACATGTATGAAATGAAATATATAAACACACTGAATATATATATTCCTTCATGTACAAACTTTATGGCTAGTTTCACAGAAGTATTTGCACAGTTGAATCTTATTACAAATATGAAAAGGAGAGTGTTCAGAAAGTTTCCCTGGTTTCTTGGCAGTAAATCTCTTTGTAAAATTTCTCCTGATTTTTCAGACTGGTCTCTTACATGCCACTTATTTCCTGTTTCTAGTCATAAGCTCAATGGTTTTCTACTGTATGCCTTAGAGAGGTTCCCCCTTATTCAGCAATGCAAGATGAGGAGGTACAGTCAGGGGAAATTTATCAATTGTGTTAAAAATGCACCAAAAAAAAAAAAAAAAAAAAAAAAAAAGAAAAAGGAGACATTAGTTTATTCTAATTTTACTTTGTCAGATTCACAAGTGCTATGGTCTGTCAGAGGCCTAGGCTGGCAAATATGCTGGACACCATAAGCTTCCTTTCAGTACTGGTTGCAGTGGCACAGACATATCCCTACTCACTACCTGGCTTAGCTGTTCCCATGAAGAGAGTGAGCTTGGGGCAGAGCCTCCACTGTGTGCTGAGCAAGGCTGAGCACCAACAGCTGGGCCGTGCGCTGTGAGCACCTGGCGAAGCAAACATTTTCAAAGGGCTCTGTACAGGTTGAATTGTGTCTCCCCTGGATATGTTGAAGTCTTGCCCCCAGTCCCTGTGGATGTGATCACTTGTTGGAAATACAATCTTTGCAGATGCAATCAAGAAGTTAAGATAGAGTCACTAAGGTAGGCCTAATCCAGCGAACACCAGTGTCCTGATAAAGCGGGAAAACTTTGGACAGAAACATGCCAGAGAGGAGAAAGAGCATGAGGACCACAGACCCAGGGGAAGACGGCCATGTGAGGACCGGGACAAGAACAAGTGAGATTCACTGCCACACACACCAAGGGAGAGGGCCTGGGAGCTCCAGAAGCTGGAAGATGCAATGAAGGATTCTACCCTACAGGATTCAGAGGGAGCATGGCCCTGTCAACACCTTGATTTTGGACTTCCATCCTCTAGAATAGAATAAACTTCTGTTGTATTAAGCCGACCATTTTGTGTTACAGACATTCCTCAAGGATATTGCAGGTTCAGTTCCAGAACACCACAATAAAACAAATATCACAACAGATGAGTCATATGAATTTTTGATTTCTCCAGTGATCTAAAGTTATTTATACTATACGGTAGTCTATTAAGTGTGAAATAGAATTATATCTGAGAAAAGTCATACTTTAAAAAAATGATTTATTGATAAAAAATGCTAAAGATTATCGGCCTTCCAATCAGTTGTAATCTTTTTGCTGGTGGAGGTCTTGCCTCAAGGTTGATGGCTGCTGACTGCTCAGGGTGGTGGTTGCTGAAGGCTGGGGTGGCTGTGTAGCTGTTTCTTAAGCTGAGACAACAATAAAGTTGCTGTGATGATGGCTGTCTTCCTTTAAAAAATTTTCTAGCATGCGAAATGCTATTTGATAACATTTTACCATCTGGGCTACTTTCAAAATTAGGTCGTGTCCTCCCCAGATACTGTTGCTGTTTATCAACTGAGTTTATGTAATATTCTAAATCCTTTGTTGTCATTTTCACAATGCTCATGTCATCTTCACCAGGAAGAGACTCCACCTCAAAAAAAAAAAAAAAAAAAAAAAAAAAAAAAAAATAAAACACTTTCTCTGTTCATTCGCAAGAAGGAACTCCTCATCTGTTCAACTTTGATCCTTGAATTTGCCCAGCAATTGGAGTACATCTTCTGAGTTCCATTTCTGACTGTAAATTCTCTTGCTATTTTCACCACATCTGCAGTTATTTCCTCTGCTGAAGTGTTGAACCTCTCAAAGTCAGCCATGAGGGTTGAATTGCTTCTACCAAATTTCTGTTAATGTTGATATTTTAACCTCTTCCCATGAATCATGAATGTTCTTAATGATATGTATAATGATGAATTCTTTCCAGCAGTTGTCAACTTACTTTGCTCAGATCCATCAGAGGAATTACTGTCTGTAGGAATGGCCTTACAAGGCGTATTTCTTAAATAATGAAACTTGAAAGTCAAAATTACTCCTTCATGCATAGTCTGCGAATGGCTGCTGTGGTCAGCAGGCAGGGAAAACTCCATTCATTTCAGTGTCCGTCTCCATTAGAGCTCTTGGCTGTCTAGGTGTAATGTCAATGAGCAATATTTTGGGGAAAGGAATCTGTTTTTTTCTGAGCACTAGATCTCAGCAGTGGACTTAAAATATTCAGTAAACCATGTTGCAAACATACCTATGTTATCAGGCTTTGTTGTTGCATTTATAGACACAGGGAAGGTACATTTAGCATAAGCTTACAGGCCTAGAATTTTTAGAATGGTCAGTAAGCTTTGGCTTCAACTCAAAGTCACCAACAGCATTAGCTCCTAAAAAGTCATCCTGTTCTTTACAGGCTCCTGAAGCCAGCATTACTTCTCCTCTCTAGCTATGAAAGTACAACAGATGACTGTTTTGTCTACATGGAAAATCTGTTATTTAGTGTAACACCTTCATCCATGATCTTAGCTAGATCTTCTAGATAACTTGCTGCAGCTTCTACATAAGCACTTGCTGCTTCACCTTGGGTCACCCATGTTATGGAGAGGGCTTCTTTCCTTAAACCTCGGACCAAATTCTGCTAGCTTGCAGCTTTTATTCTGCAACTTCTCACCTCTGGCAGCTTTCACAGAACTGAGAAGGGAGTTAGGGCCTTGCTCAGGATTAGGCTTTGGCTTCCAGGAAATTGTGTCTAGTTCAGTCTTGTATGCATAGACCACTAAAACTTCTTCCCTAACACTCAGCAATAAGGCTGTTTCATTTATTATTCATGTGTTCACTGGAGACAGTACTTTATATTTCCTTCAAGTGCTTTTGCTTTGCCTTTACAACTCTCTAGCTGTTTGGCACATGAGGAATGGCTTTTGGCCTATCTTGGTTTTCAACATATCGTCCTCAGTAAGCTTAGTCATCCCTAGCTTGATTTCCGGGTAAAGAGATGCATGGCTCTCCTTCATGTCAACACTTAAAGGCCAGTGTAGGGCTATTAAGTGGCCTAATTATGTATTATT